AAAAAAACAGCTACACGCCCCGTATATTCACTTTGTAATATATCGTTAACACATTCTTTTCACTATTACGCCTTTATCAAAAATTAACGTTGAGGTCCTACGAACTGGTTACCCCTTCAATGCCGAATTTTGTCCTGTTTTCATAAGCATGAGGAGTCATGAAGAATGCATGGGGTGCTAGTTCCTAGCACATTTTCATAGGAATTCATCGAGTATGCTTCGCAGTTTGATACTGCGCGTACCAATTTGCACCTTGGAGGGTAGAGAGCTGCTACAAGAGGAAAGAGTCCTGCTCTACAACAGTACACAACACAGTAACGCAATATATAACTCCAGTAGAACTCAAACTTCAGGTCATCCAATCCCGGTAGGGTCTAACACGCCGGCCACCATGCCAACACGTTTCACGCATCATTTTAATAGCAAGGGCGGTTAGAGAAAAGAAGGGATAAGCTATTTGCAAAACACATCTTCTAAAAATAAATTTTTTTCAAGGGGAGAGTAATTGGTAAATTAGCGAACTTAGACTGTTTTACAAAAAAAAGACCGACAAATTTTGACATCCAACAAACAAACACTCTTTCCCTCTTCTGGTCGCTATCATTCCACTGATATTGTAACTTTCTGACTTTGAATAGTAGCACGTTTTGGATGGCTCTGAGCGTATAAACATTCGTACTATGACTTCAGTTTCTTGTTCCAAGCAAAACATTATTCTAGGAATTTATGTATCCAAGCAAAACAATATTCTAGGAATTTATGTATCCAGGCAAAACGATATTCAAGGAATTCATGTATTCAAGCAAAACGATATTCATGAAATTTATGTATCCAAGCAAAACGATATTTAAGGAATTTACGTATCTAAGAAGCTTTAATGATGTAATCCTCAAGCAGATATAAGAAATGAGAAATGATGATTGAGAATCTGAATTAGCCCCATTTATATAAGCAAAAAATTTAATTTATGCTCACATTAAAATGTCAAACAATCAGTTAAAAAAAGAGAGGCATCTCTGAATCTAATGGATCTAATGCATCTCTGAATCTAATGGAATCCTTCATCTGTTGATTTTGAGTTGCGACTCTGTCAAGATATTAATTACATCCGGGAAGTGACCGAAATACCACAGATGTTCACCGTCAGATATCGGCCATAGTTTATCATAAACGTAAGTACGATTTGCACCGTTATTTTACCTTTGCTATAATTAATACTAATAATTCTTCCCCAGTAACTAAAAGATGATAAGTTTTTGGTGCGAGCTACCGTCCGTTATCTGAACACTTCCTCTTATAGTAAGTACACTTTCCTCCGCAGAGAAACAAATTAGTTGTAGATTACAATGAGCTGCCGAAAGGTTGTTGATATTAGCTGAAATGAGAATTATACATAAAGCAAACAGTACTGATAGATTTGCATTTTTTCCCTCGATATTTGTAGTTACTTGTCTAGTACACTTGAGTTCAATTCTAACAGCTTTTTAGGAGGCTCCCTTTGGCTGACAAAACAAAGCATAGAGGAAGCCGAGGCCAAACCGTTATGGAACATCTGTTAACAAGTTTCACTGCTGGAGACCACGGTAGCTGTTGATGGAAAGTTTCATCTACTTTTACCTTTCCAACCGAAATGGTAAACATTACAGTAGATGGGAAGAAAGACGCATTTGGGGGATTTTGCTCAGCAGAGCGTTTACCAAATGGAATGCAAAACCAGCTGAAATCCCTGACAACTTTCACCTCATTTTTATCCCTGACTGCAATTCTAGGTAATTCTTTGATCCTGGCTGCCTTACGCAAGGAATCGTCTATTCATCCGCCATCAAAGCTATTACTCGGCACCCTAGCAGTAACTGATCTCTTTGTTGGGCTCATATCAGAACCTTTGTTTGCTGTGCATTTGCTATCTGTGGCAAGCGAACGATGGACTGCTTGCGAATTGTCGTACTCCATGGCCTTTATAGCAGGTTACATACTGGGCTCTGTGTCTTTGTTAACACTGACTGCAATAAGCGTGGACAGGCTTCTCGCCCTCACATTGGGGCTGAGATACAGACAAGTTGTAACTATTAAGCGAACATCCTTGATGATAGCCGTCTTTTGGATCGTTTCAATCGTGGCGGCAACAATTTCCCTTCAAAACTACTTCATAACCTTGTGGTATAGCTACATCGGAACGTTGTTATGTTTAGTGACCTTAGTCTTATCCTATACAAAAATTTTTAAAACGCTCTGTCAACAGCGGGTACGAGTAGAAGAATCCCTTGCTCAGCAGCCAAGATGGATGACTCCGCGGCACATGTTCCATATAGCGCGACAGCGGGAGGCGGTCTCTAGTGCATTGTGGGTTCAGCTGACTTTGGTAGCTTGTTATTTACCATTTGTTGTTGATGGCGTAGTGAGTAGAGCCATGCCTCTTCAAGATGTACTATCCCGCTCTTATTATTTTGCCAAAATGAGCACTATTACCGTGGTTTATTCAAACTCATCATTAAACCCTTTTCTTTATTGCTGGAAGATCAGGGATGTGAGACGAGCAGTCAAAGATATAATCAAGAAATTTATTCGCTGTTGACAGAACTAAGTCCAAACGAATTATTCTTTACTTCGGAAAGATGAGAGATGTGAGACAAGCAGTCAAAGATACAACCTAGAAAATTATGAGCGTATGGTACGTCTTTGTTACATCATAATATCTCATATTCTTTCTCGGCCTGTTAATTAAAATTTTTATTACCATCATTTTCCAAGAAATTTTTAACATTTAAGTTACTGTTTTTAGTATCCTCAATAAGTCCTTCCAGTCGCAAACAGTTGATTTCGCCCCTCAGGCCTCGCTTTTAAGTTGCAATACAGTAAATTAAGGTGAGGAAGTAGATACAAAGTATTTAGACCGAACGAATAATTAGGAGAATACAACACGGAGGCGGCAAAGATTCGAGGAAAATATGACATAAACGTGATTTGGGATGAATTTTCAGTAGATGACGTAATTACGCCCGTCAGCCCAGTAATTCCTTCTGCTTTCGACTTGTTTTCCTTACTGACTGAATTCTTAGTGGAGAAAATTTCAAAATTTAGCAAAATAAAAAAGAATTAAGGAAGTGAGATAACAATGGAAAGGCATGAAACAACATTGATGGTGGTAAGTGCGAATCAAACACTAGAAGCCATAAAATAAAGCTCCTCCAACAGATTTAAAAGAAGTTTCCTGTTGTGATAAAATAAAAAACAAACCATACCTTGTTTACAATTAAAAATCAATCACTCGAAATTTTCTAATTTTCCTTCAAGACAATTTCCAACAGAGTCCTGTGATTTGTTTTGACTGCTCTTTGTCGAAAATGTTTAAATCATTTGTGTCGAGCACCTGTCTCTTTAGAGATCACGTCCGAAACCCACACTCAATTTAAGCTGATGAATTCAAATTTTTCATACTCATTCATTTCATTATATTGATGTTTAGCGGATGTTCCGCTGCAACATTCATGGAATAAAAAGATGTTTGATAGTTATACGAATTTAATAGTTTCATTTCGCATTTTGAGACATTTCGTATAAAATAGTAATAGCAACTCTTAGAATCAATCTTTGAGTTAGATGTCATTTTTAGATCATGTTTCTTTTCATTGTCCAAAGGAACATCTGCTCGTCTGGTGTTTTGCTTTTCTCAGTGTTTTCGTGGTCCGTGGAATTTTTTCATTAAAGGTTGAGGCAGGAAGCGGGACGTTACAATTGCACAGTGCCTGCTCTTTTTCTCGCACTCAGTAATGCCATGTTTCTATTTGGTTTCTAGGCTCTTACGTTACGTTGTTCTTCAGTTCCCTGACCAATCATATTTTACCAGGTATAGAATGGAATCGATGGGGGAGTATACTTTTATAAAAGCCGTTATGACAGAGAAACTTAAAATCTTAAGCGAATAATCTTTAATCAGTGAATAATCGAGATGGACTTAAGTCAACTGAACGACTGCTGTGCTCAGCAGAATTGCCTTTTCAGTTGAACCATCACTTCACTTGCCTTTCTGTGTCTAGCATCGTTTTATCCATAACTTCATTTATGGGAAATAATTTGATGTTAGTGGCCTTTCACATAGAATCTCCTCTGCACGCGCCGCCTAAAAATTTTATTGCGTTGTTTGGCTGTCAGCGATCTTGGTATCGGTCTTGTTACGGGACCTCTCTATTCGGCATATCTTAATTCTGCCCTGGCCAAACGATGGAATGTGTGTCGTTTTGCATTTGCTTCAGGTATTCTGGCAGGCTTTCTCTTTTCTTAAGTGTCTTTGACGACACTTACCAAAATTAGTGTAGAAAGCCTACTTGCATTAAAACTAGCTAGGCTTCCGATACAAACAAGTTGTCACTTTGAAGCATGCTTACATTGCTGTTGGTGTTATTTGGATCGTGTCTATCTTCTCCACAGCTGTCTCCTTCCTTAAATACTTTATAACCCTGATAATTGCATACACAGTCATATCTTTATACTTAGTAATCTCTGCATATTGCTACATAAACATTTATCTGACTCTTCGTGAGCATCGGTCTCAAGCGCATTGTATTCGCGTTCTGCAACAAAGCCCAGCCGTTCCACTGAACATAGCCACATAAAGGAAAACCTTGTCGGGTTGTGTATGGCTACAGCAGGCAGTTGTAATTTGCTGTCTTCCAAATACTGATAACTTTGTTTTTCGAAAGTTACCATCTTTATCATTTTTAATGGATATTCCGACAGAAATGTTTCGCTCTTCGATATCGCCGCTGCTCATCCCTACGTCATACAGGACGATCGTTATGCGTAGAACGCTTGATTCGTCATTTATTACGCCCAAAATGTGAATAAGGGCAAAACTGCATGCGAATCCCGGTATGGCTAAAGTGGCATTAAACGAATTGATCCGCCGCTGATTGCGACGAATTTGAAAACAATTTTGCCGGAGAAACTGGAAAGGAATTTTTTTCCTTGTCGAAGCGATCACACTAAGCAATAAATGCGAAGGTCGTGATGGTTTTTTTTTCCTTTACACAGTCATTTCGTTTACGTCCTTTATTTTGAAACGTCATACTGATGATATCGAGGCAAGTGATCAACTGAACAAGCCGCTTGTTAAGTTAGACCATTTTTGAGTTCTACAAGTTCTCATTTTCAATGTGAGATTAGGAGCAAATCCTTCTTTGAGAAAATGAGTTGTATTTGCACGGGAATATCAACTTAAATAGACTCTCATTCGTTTCAATATAAAGTCTGCGCATCTCAGGAATGTCCTATTAAGCTTTTCAGTTTCTTTTAATTCCCTTTTAAGCTAGAGTTAACGGACATATTGGCCACCGCCAACATGTGATCGTTAAAAAACAGATATCGCTATTTGCATGCAAAATAAACCAGGTTTTTGACGCTATTTTTAGCTCTAACATAATCCATCTTCACTTACCGTCCTCGTCAGTGATTGCAATAGTCGGTTCGCTCTTGATTCCTTCTCCTTTGATGGTGAACGCCGACACCTGGATTGTGTAGTTTGTATACTTCTCTAATCCTAAGAGGCTGAAAGTTCGCGTTGGAACCAATATTGTTATGTTCCGTAAAATAACTGCACTGTGATTAGTTCTCCACATAATTAGCCTGTATCCTCGGATGATACCCAATTGATCAGGGAAGGAGACCTCGCCCCAGTCCACACGAAGGCTTGTCGAGCTTCTGTTTATAGCAACGATGTTACTTGGAGGAGCCCTGGGAACTGAAAAAAAAATTAAGCCAATCAGCCGGAGAGATAAGAAATATATACCTGCCCGAAGGTTGTTCCATCGACTTTCTTTCAAACTAACAACTAGCGAGTTTCATTCATTTGAATACTAAAGCTTATCAGGGAGCTGCACCTCAAAGAGTTAAAGATGCTTGTTTTGACGCCGATGCGAAGCTTTAGAATTAATTACTCACCGTGCTCCTCTGTTCTTTTGAGTATGAAAGGGCTCTTGGCACCTTCACCAATCCTGGTAAAGGCGGTAACAGTAATGTTATAATCTCTGTACTCCTCTAAGCCTGTTAATGTTGTTTGGCGGGCCAGGGGATCACGAACTGTTTTAAAATTCCAAAGTGCATGGCTGTCGTTTATATTCAAATAATGCACGTGAAATCCGAGGAGAACACCAAGCACCAGCCGTACATTTGGGTCAAATTCCCATTCGATCAGAAGACTCCAAGCGCTCGTGTTCCTTCCACGTACTTCGAAAGGAGCTCCGATAGGAACTGGAAATGAGTTCGTTCAAAGATAGCTATTTTACAAACTGTGATAAATAACATTCGAAGCATTTTTGATACAAATAATCTCCCTCTGATTATAAAAATTCTGAAATAGCATGAAAGCTAAACATCAACTTTGAGAATTGTTTCTGTTTTCATTTTCCGCTTATATACAATCAAGCAGGCGATACACCCCAAAGTATGACTGATGAATAAGTCTTTATAATTAGTGAGAGGAGTAAAAAAAATAAAGATCGTGGCAGGATGAAGCTATTGTAAACTGCTTTGGACTTCTTTGGACTGCTTTGCAAACCCA